AGGGTTTAGGGTTTAGGGTTTAGGGTTTAGGGTTTAGGGTTTAGGGTTTAGGGTTTAGGGTTAGGGTTTAGGGGGTTAGGGGTTAGGGTTTAGGGTTTCGGGTTTAGGGTTTAGGGTTTAGGGTTTAGGGGGTTTAGGGTTTAGGGTTTAGGGTTTAGGGTTAGGGTTTAGGGTTTAGGGTTTAGGGTTTAGGGTTTTTTAGGGTTTAGGGTTTAGGGTTTAGGGTTTAGGGTTTAGGGTTAGGGTTTAGGGTTTAGGGTTTAGGTTTAGGGTTTAGGGTTTAGGGTTTAGGGTTTAGGGTTTAGGGTTTAGGGTTTAGGGTTTAGGGTTTAGGTTTAGGGTTTAGGGTTTAGGGTTTAGGGTTTAGGGTTTAGGGTTTAGGGTTTAGGGTTTAGGGTTTAGGGTTTAGGGTTTAGGGTTTAGGGTTTAGGGTTTGGGCAGATAGGGATTTTGTGGGTTTTCTGGTTTACGGCTCAAGGCTTCCTCTGAGAGAGAGAGAGAGGGAGAGAGATAGAGAGAGGAGGCTTAAGGATTCTAGGGTTGATTACGGGGTTTATGGGTTCGGGTCAAGGGGTCAGGGTTTCGGGGTCTCGGTGTTTAGGGTGCCCACAAAGGATCTTAAGGGATCTTAAGCATTTATATTATCTTTTTCCTTAAGCCCAACCCGCAGCACAGGGGTCTATCTGGTAGGATCAAGTAGGAGCTATATGTTAGGCTTTACTTGCGGCTCGAAACTTCGCTGCTGTTGAAGGGATCTTGTAAGGGGATCTTACGTGGAACATGAGGGCTTTCTAGGGTTTGGAGTTTGGTTGTGGGTTCAGGGTTTGGGTGCTTGAGGTTAGGGGGTTCATCTTGGGGTTAAGGGCTTGTGGTTTCGGAGGTTTATGTTGGGGTTAGGTGCTTGAGGTCTTTTGGGGTCTGGTAGTGTCTGATAGTGATAAGGATCTTGTAAGGTGCACGTATGGCTTTAGCATGTTGAGTGGCTGTTTGGGGAGATCTACACATCAGGGATGCAGTAGTGTAGGGTCCCGCAAAAGCTTGATTATCTTGGGCGGTTCCTTGTTTGGGTTTTGGGGCTCAGGGTTTAGAGCATTCATTTTTTTACTAGTATCGTCTCATTTTGACGTTGACTTTGGTGGTGGCAAGTAGTAACCCTAGTACTTGCACAGACTGTTCTCACCTGTTTCGTGCCGCATGGTATAGTTAACGAGTTTTTACTGTAGTGTAAGTGCTATGGGGAGCAAGCCATCTAGATTTTGAGCTAGCCTCCAAAACTAGCCCAGGAAGATGTGGATGGCCCTCTTGGTGCTCGTGGTCACGGCGACTCTGTTGTCAGCCAAGATCCCAGGCGCGCCTTTGATTGGCATCGTCCCCAGGCCGTTCTGTCTTAACATCATTCTGATTGTTTGGTTTAAGGTATGTCCTCAAGACGGATAGGACAAAACTCAGCTGGACCCTTTAACCTCAGAAAACCATTTCTTCTTGGGTAGGAATGCAAGCTTTTTGAAAGGCTTCTCGGAACTGCCCAAGGTCTTGGGAACTGTCGTCTGCTGGATCGAGGGCTGGGTGAATCTTGGCGCAATGCTAGGGACCAAGAAGCCGCCCCAAAACATAAACGATTACTTGCTTGAGAACCCCAAAAAGCAAAGGAATATTCTTCCTTATCAAGGGCAATATAGGGATAATTTGTTTTTACTTCTTTTGGGGTTCTTAAGCAAATAGTAGTTAATCAGTGATGTCGATAGGCTTCAAAAGATACCATTTAGGCGCTAAGTTGGCCTTCCAGAGCACGTTGTCTTTGGGCTCCTGTGGTTTCTGGCCTCATCCTACCAGAGATTCATTCTGTTTGTTTGGTTCACTTGTTCATCTAAACCTATATACTCAGAACACTAAGAAGACGTCCTGTTGCTGTTGCTGTTGTCTGGGCTCCTATCAACATACCTTTCAACCTTAAATGCAGCTGCCTGACTGTTTGTCTGGTATCTGGGCAGAAGGGCTCCTGTCCTGCAGATCTTAACCCCAAAAGGTATCGTACCTCACCCTAAGTGTGCAACAACCTCTTGTATTATATGACCCCAACAGTATGGCTGATCTCATCTGCACTACGCTGAAATTGTCGATAAACCCTAGAATCCCTAGAATAACATTTGCCTACTCGCAAGCCTCGGAACCCAACACCCCCTTTTTTGGGGGGCTGCCAATGTAGAAACGCCGGAAATTGAGGCTTCTGGGCCGAGGATTTCCCAAAAAGGGGTACTGATCGTGAGATTCAGCAACCCAAAAACCCCCAAAGTTAGTCGTCTGCGTCTTCTTCCCACGGCTTGCTTGAAGGCGCAGGAATGGCGTCCCCTTGCAGCTCTTACATATTCATACTAAACAGCAACCCAAAACCCTGTTCTACTGATTAAGGCTCTGCACCCTGACGGCACTGAATCCGTTCTACCACCCTCATAAGAACCCTTATAGACCTACTGTGCAATTTTACACCCCGAAATCCGATTTTTCACGTCCCCACCCCTCCCCTCATTTGTCGCAGACAAGGAATGGCGTGGAGGGCTCCGTCTTCGGCTATCCTTTCGGGACCGAGGGCGACACTGGACTGTGTTTTTTTTGTTTTGGCTTGCTTGATTGTTTTGGTGCACTACAGTATTATAGGAAGGAACAATGGTTATAACATGAGTACTAGTAGACTACTGTAAGTCACAGGAGAAATCTAGAATCTGGTATGAATTTTGAAAAGGATCAACAAATTCGGTTTCCAATGTGTTCTTATCCCTAACCCTGCAAACATTCTAGGGGTTTTACCCCTAGACCCGTAGAAACCCCCGAAATGGTCCCAAACGCCAAGGATCGGTCCGCCAAGGACTTCCACATCTTTGTGCCTCACGGTGTGGCCCCCTGGCAACAGCAAAAGCAAGTTATGTTGTGCCTAATTCTTGAAGCGGGCCTTATATGGGCTTCAGAACAGGGTATACCTCATGGAGGGTTTGATTCAACAGATCTTGCAGCAAGTATATATCAGGTCAAAGACAGATTTTCTGAAACCCGCCTTTGGGTGCCCAAAAAAGCTATGCGTGGGCTATTGCTGAGTTTTGTTGCCTTTTGCGGCTTATGGTTTTGTTCTTTCTCATAAGATGTTCTCCAAATTTCGAAGGTTATGCTTGTTGCCCACCTTCTTCCTGAGAAGAGAACATCCGAGCATGGGGGTCTTTAGTGTGTTGGGTTTCGGGAGTTAGGGTCTAGGATGCATACAGCACGGACGATTGACCTGCCCCTCCTACAGGCAGGGGAAAACTGGTCAGGCTTTTTTTTGTCTTCTGAGTGCAGCAGCTTCAATGATTCGTCTCCGTTCTTCGTTTGCAAGCCTAAACCCTCCTAAAAACTCCGACATGTAGGAAGCAGAACCAGCAGAACTCTAGAGCAGCATGAACTCTAGAGCTGCATGAACAAAAACTTTCTTAATCAGCCTTGTAAAGCCGTCGAAGAACACCTGAGCCCATCAACCCCTCAGCACGGAACCCTCAAGCCCTGAAGCCCTGAAGCCCCCAAGCCGAAAACCTTAAACCCTAAGCCCCATCAAGCCCTAAACCCTTACCCCCCCCCCCCCCCCCCAAACTAGGGCCCCCAAGCCCGAAGCCCTTAGATGCCAAGAACCTTGTCAGGTCGCCAGCCCTCATCTCTCCGGCTTGACCGGTGCACTTTTCGAAGGTTTCGACTGGGCTCCCCGGACTGAAGGGTTTAGGGTTTGAGGGTTTTCGGTTTGGGGTGGAAGAAGGGTGGTTTAGATCTATGAGGGGGTAGGGTGTTTGAGGCAGTTACATGCGGGGTCCATACAACGGGTTCAGCAGTTCAGGGCCGCGGGTGTCAGGACACTGGGTTGCTGTCTTACTAACCCTACACCCTACACCCTAACCCTATAAAAACCGTAACACTGTAGAGTTCGTTCGTTTCGTGTGAGGGTTTGGGACTCTCCGTCTTCGTTTGTGAACGTTAAGGCCTTGCCGGTTCCAGGTTTGCGGTCAATTTGGGGGTGGCTTGTTTGCAGAAGCAGGTTCCAGTTCAGGTCACGTGTCGAGGCACATGTCGGATTGTGTGCTTGGGCTTAGGGCTGCGCAGCTTCTTTTCCGAATCTCTGATACACCATATACTTTGGCTTAAGAGAGTCTGCACAGCAGCTAGCCCAAGAAAGAACTCTCTGCATGAGACACGCTTTCCTGCTGCTATGGGTCCTCACACAGTCAACAGCGCTCCCCTCGCACAAGGCATTCCACCCGGAGACAAGCGGCACGTTTTGGACGGCTGTGGCGACTTTCTGTTGCTTGGAGCCCAAAGTGTCGACTCCCCCCAAAAAAAAACACTGGGCCCTAGGTGGACCGCGGGCGAAGGAGCAGCCTAGAACAGCAACCTGAACATTCCAGCAAGTGAGCATGGAAGAACTGATCAACTAATCTGTCACAGGCGATTCGTGCAGTCGCTGTAGCTGAAGAGCTCCACGTAATCCTGCAGTCGTTTGGTACTACATCCTAGTCACAGCTTGTCAAACAGCCATCCGATGTAGATCAAAGCCCTAAGGCTACACAGACCTGCTCGACTCCTCCGGCACTTTCTTCGCGGTGGCGAAGGTCGCAGGGCTCACAGACGCCCGCGGCAACCTGCCCCTGGCGCGCCAGAACATGGCATACCTGGCCGACGCGCTCTCGATGATGGCCCGATGGGGCTTCTGATAGTTATAGGGTGTAGGTATGGTCTAACTAGGGTCCTTTCTTTCTGAAACTCTTAGATAAACTGACAGTAAGATGCACCGGGGGTTTAAGGCCCTGAAGACCCTCTAGACCTAAGCGATGCTCTAGGGACCACTGAAGGCCAAAACGCCCTAACTAGTAGTTGAGTAGGTAAGCTTGAACCTTCTTGGTTTTTTTTTATATACTCCTACCATACCCGGTCATCCTTCTTAGTGCCAGGGAACTCAGCAATGAAGCCCACATTTAAGCCCTACACCCATGCAGATTGGCTCTGTTCTGGGCGTTTCCACCGTGAGCACCTTCGCCGAGTCTACCGCCGGAGTTGCAGATGGCGCCAAGACCGGCTTGGCTTCGCTGGTGACGGGCAGCTGTTTCTTGCTGGCCATTCCTTTCTCCCCGATCGTCTCGGCTGCGTCTGGGCTCTGCTTGGGAAACCTTTGTTGACGGTGTACCTTAACGTTTTGCCTGCCTCCACGTAACGGGTGGCCTTCCGTTCTTCTGAGGTTCCCCCGCTAGCCTCCGGCCCGATCCTGTGCCTCCTGGGCGCGATGATGTGCAGCTCCGTGAAGGGCGTGGACTGGGATGACTTCCAGGAGCGCAGAGCGGTTCAGGGTTTAGGGTTTAGGGTTTAGGGTTTAGGGTTTAGGGTTTAGGGTTTCGGGTTTAGGGTTTAAGTCTGGGGGGTTTCTGGTTTAGGATGTGGGCCTTTCCGCGTTTCAGCATTTTTGCGGGGGTTTTCGGGTTTAAGATGTCGAACAGGGAGGAAGGAGTGCGAGAGTTGCTTCGAGAGGAGTTTCTGGAAATTTGTCGTGGGTGAATCAGCTTTGCCCAAAACGCTGAACCCTAAATCCTAAACCCTAAACCCTTCGCCCTTCGCCCTTCGCCCTTCAACCTTCAACCTTCAACCTTCAACCCTTAACCCAACCAACCTAAACCCTGAGTCTGAGGTTCTTATTTTATTCCGCTAGAGCAGCCTGTCGTGCATTGCAGTGCATTCCCGCATGTCACAACAGAAGACCCTTGTAATAGCAGCCCTAAGGACCCCAGAGTGTTTCTGGAGCACCCAACCCCAGTGTCTTTGGAGTGCCCAAACCCAGAGTGTTCCTAGAGTGCCCAACCCCAGAGTATCTACCCAGAGAGGCTGGGTATGTTCGAAGTAAAAGAATGTATACTAATTGTATTGCTGTAGCCCAAAACCCTATTCTACCCCTTACAGTCGGTCTCTTCCTTCATTGAGGGGTCGTGGGCTCCCTGGAACCCTCAATCCCACCGGAAGCTCCCATTCGTTCTTTGCAGGAAAATAGGTGGCCTTTAGCCTTTAGAGCTTTGCAGGTTTAGATTTTAGGGAATAATCATTCAGGTGGTTTGCTAGGGCTTGTAAGGGTGTAGGATTAGAGTTCAAGGTGCTTTTTTGATTTGAGCCGGGGATCTCAGCAACCAGGAAGCCTTGCCAGCTTTCGTGGCCATGATCACCATGCCTTTCACGTTCAGCATCGGCTGTTTCCTCAGAGCTTTCTTTTAAGTTCATGCAGGACATCACAAGCAACCGCTATGACCTTGCACAATTCAGCTCTGAACCCTAAGCAGGTGACATTGCAAGAGTACCCTTCATGTGGCCTTTCAAAGAGAACTATAAGGCTACGGCATCATTGCCGGCTTGGCTTTGTGGATCGCCATTCAGCTCTTGCTTGCTCCCTTGAGGCTGTCGGGTTCAGGGTTTAGGAGGGCCTCAGGGATATTGAGGGCTAGGGTTAGCAGCTCTTGAGGTGTAGGTTCTCCGGGCTTTTGGGGGAGCATCTGTTGCTTGTTCCCTTGAGGCTTTACCGTGGGGAGAGTCCCTTGGTGCGCTGCAAGATGCTTTGGGCCGGTGCCTTCATTGAGGGCAATGATGAGGAGCAGGAGGGTAAGAAGACACCCAGTACTGTCACCCCCAACCAGTCGGAGGGCCAGTTCGTTAGCGAAAGTACCGTCTGAGCGAGCAGCTTCTTCCAGGCATGTCTAGGCATTTGGCCACGTTCTTCCACTTGTATAGGTCATGTCGCACGGCCTACATACGAGGGCCTTAGGCTGCCTGTGGAGCAGGCATCTGTAATTCAACCGCACTCCAAACGCGCGGTGTTCTTGCGTAGCGAAGCCTTCGTCTTCCGAAAATCCCCTGGGCGCCAAGTCTCTGGCTGTTAGCGTCCTCGGGTATTTAGTTCCTCGGGCGGGAAGCAGGCACCACCCATGGCCGCACAAGGCGTGCTAGAGGTGTGTGCGACACATGCGCCGTCTTTACCCGCAGATGCATACGTCGACTCTGCCATGCGAAAATGCCCGGTCGTTTGCATTTTGATTCTCCCAGGTCAGCCACTCTACTCCCGATGTAGTAACCTACTCCACAGCCGTGATCCCCGAACAGTAGACTCTAAACCCTGATAAAGCCTAAAACCTAAGCACTGAACCCTAGACTCTAAACTCGAAACCACCTATATGGTTTAGGGTTTTGGGTTCAGGGGTTCAGGGGTTCAGGGTTTAGGGTGTAGGGTTGAGGGTTTAGGGGTTTAGGGTTTAGGTAAGTCCTTATGAACGCAAAACCCTAAGCTTTACACACTAATCCGAAGCGCTCACACTTGGCTTTGCTTCCGTTGAGCCAGAGATCCCAAGATTCCTTGCAGACCCGCAGGCTCCAAACGTTTTATTGTTTCATGGGGTTTCATTTAGGTTTGGGGCTGAGGGGTGTAGGGTTGGGGGATGTAAGGTTTCTGGTTCGTTTGTTGCATGCTTCCTTAGCAATTCAATATAAGGATGGTCGCAGCGCAATGCACGCAGTCGGGAGGGTTTCCTCTGAATATCAATCGGAAATCCGATTTTCAAATCTATACTCAAAGGAGAATTCATGGGTCGATCGTATTCTTGATATATATATATATATATATATCCCGATAAAAAGCTATGGGCTCGGCCACGTTTATGGTTCTGCGGCGGGCCTATTTTTTCTTTAATTTTTTGAATTATTTATTGCATATATGAAGTCAAAGGATAAACAAAAAGAGAATTTTTTTCGTATTGCAAGAGAGAATAAAGATATATTGAGATGGCTATTACGATAATATCGAATATTTTTGAATTATGGATCAATTAACACGACGAATATAATAATAAATATATCATTTGAATATAAAATAATATAATCTAGGACGATTTATTCGTAAACATATCATTTAAATAATAAATAATGGTTCCCAAGACGATTTATTCTTAAATTCATTAAATTCTAAAAAAAAATTAGGATAACTTATGAGGTCGTTCGATTGGTTTTGCCACAATATTTCTTATATAAAGGTGATTAATAATTCATGTCGTATCATGGCACCAATGACGATTTATTCGGATTTCATGATATATCTACTCTATAAAACGCTACGGTCAAACCAGCCCTACGCGGTGCGTCACGCCTCGGAGTGCCCCAGCCCAAAATTTTCCGAAAATTTCTGGACCCCGGCGAGCAAGCCGCTTTGGCCTACCCGGGACCCAAAATTTACGGGAAATTTTGGGGCTTGGGCTGTGCCCTTTGAAAGGCTGGGCCTCTTCGACGGCCGCAAGCCGGATTCGCTCCCCTAAATTTCGCTACGGTCAAACCAGCCCTACGCGGTGCGTCACGCCTCGGAGTGCCCCAGCCCAAAATTTTCCGAAAATTTCTGGACCCCGGCGAGCAAGCCGCTTTGGCCTACCCGGGACCCAAAATTTCCGGGAAATTTTGGGGCTTGGGCTGTGCCCTTTGAAAGGCTGGGCCTCTTCGACGGCCGCAAGCCGGATTCGCTCCCCTAAATTTCTGGAAAATTTCTGGTTCCGGGTAGCCCGAAGCCTCGGTCCCTAAATTTCCGGAAAATTTGCTTCATCGCTTTCCTAAATTTCCGAAAATTTACACACCCAAAATTTTCAGGAAATTTAGGAAACGGATGCAGCCTGATCATGTTCAGAAGCCACGGCCCAGCTCCCTAAATTTCCGGAAAATTTAGGGTGCTGGGTGGCCGAAAATGTCGAAGCATTGTTGACCGCTTGAACCGTTGAGTTCAGGTGTTGATCATTTGCCATGTTGCTGCATGCTTTCATTGCATGCTTTCATTGTTTTCAATCGTGCTTTGTTTTGTGGCATTACAAAGCTAAAATATTAAACAGGACTTTTACATACTTTTACTTCACTTCCAATATGAGCGCATCACCTGGCATTACCAGGATATTACGAGCGTGCTTTGTTTTATGGCATTACAAAGCGCATTACCTGGCATTACCAGGTCGTCGTCGTCGTGCGTCGTCGTCGTCGTCGTCGTCGTCGTCGTCGTCGTCGTCGTCGTCGTCGTCGTCGTCGTCGTCGTCGTCGTCGTCGTCGTCGTCGTGCGTCGTCCGTCGTCCGTCGTGCGTCGTCCGTCGTGCGTCGTCCGTCGTGCGTCGTGCGTCGTGCGTCGTGCGTCGTGCGTCGTGCGTCGTGCGTCGTGCGTCGTTCGTCGTCGTCGTCATCGTCGTCGTCGTCGTGGTCGTCGTCGGGTGTCGTCGTCGTCGTCGGGCGTCGTCGTCGCGCGTCGCGGGTCGTGCGTCTTGCGACGTGCGTCGTGCGTCGTGCG